GTTGCTGGACTCATCATGATGACCACTTCTTTAGAAATGGGAATCTAATCAATAATGTGGTAATAACTAGGTATAGTGCCAGGTGGGTACTGTTGAATAACTGTGATGTACACCTGAAACTAGTATACTCTTGTATGTTAGCTATACCTTTCATAAAAATCTTTTTAAAAACTAAGTCTATTTCATTAATTTTATTAAACATCAGTCAGCATTCAAATTTCCAACAGACTCAGATGCCATAAATAACTTGTATTTTTATAGTTTACTTGATTAAATTCGGATGAAAAAAGAATCGCATGTAGCAGTTGGTTATTTTGTTTTGAAAAGCTCGTTTAAGTGATGGGTTCTCTTCTTTTTCCTGTCCCAGTTCTCCGCCTTCTGCTTTCCCCGTCCACTCCTTTTGTCTCCTCATTTCATCACCACTTCTGCGGCTCTCTTCCTCCTCTTCTTCCCTCCCTTACTCTTATTTGCTAAAGAAACTGTGTTGTTAATCCTGCAGAGGTTTGTTCCAAACTCTGTTGTTTGCTGAAATTTTAAAAATGCAAATCTTATTCAGAGATTTGTGTAAACAATTTACATTTGTGGAACAGTTCACCTCCTCCAGGTTTGGCTTGCATTTAATTAACAAATCACATTTCTATGGCGGGTTATCAAAAGACATCATCATGTTAGTTGCTGTGATTAGAAGGCTCTGCATTGGTCTGAAGTTTTAGATTTCTCACACATGACAAGACTATAATATTGTTATCAAGAAGAAGAGAGTTAAATCAAAGTGGAAATTTGTGCATCATTTCGTGAGAGATTTCTAGCTCCAGGAGGAACTTATCCATCATGCTTTCTCTCCCCACTCCCACACCAGGAGAAATATTTGTTTGTTTGACAGCAAAATATTAGCCCTGGAGACGTGTATAGGCAGAGTTTTATTTCATCTTTATTTAGTAACTTAATCTCCATAAGACCATGGAGACAGCAACCCATGACTTCATTTGACACCAATGTCACCTCAAACTTGAACAAAAAAAGTATCTGGTTATATGTGATAACTTTATGCCCATTCAAGTGCATGATGGATTTCGACTTTTCCTCAAAGTTTATTATGAGCAACATGTCACAATACAAGCAGAAAAATATAATAACAAGGGTAGATTTTTCTATTGAGGTCATCTAAATGCCAGACTTCGTCTTCTCCTTCTCCATTGCCTGGAGTGAGATGACATATGCTGCCTTGAACTGGCATGGGCTCCCACACCACCAGTACCTGAATGACCAGTGTGCTGACTGATATATTTTTATCTGTTTTTAGTCAGTCTTCCCTGGAGCTTGAATGGACATATACCTTGGTTTCTAGAAACAATGAACTTCATAATAAGGTATCTTCTACTAAAAAACGTGGTTTATTTTTGTTTTTTAATTGATCTAATAAAATCACATAATTTTTTTGTGTGAAAATAATCTGTGGTTTTGGCAAAAACATTAAAAAAAGACAGTGTTTTAACTGGTTCAGAATTTTTGGGGGGACCAGTCAACAACATCATATTTTTACCCGTTGAGATTTAAGTTTGTCTCGAATTTTCATGTACTGTTTGGTAAGAGAGTGAGTCGTGATCTCTTAACATTATAAACTTTGTGTGTAACAGAGATTTACCCATTACAAGGGTTTATAAAGTGATAAAGAAAACTTTTTTGTTTCTTCCCTAATTTCAAACTTGAGATCATTTATATTTTATATTGTATATTTGGGGATGACTGCTTTTTAAAGACAAATCATACCTATTACTGTTATGATTTAGTCAATGCTTTGCGTTGTCACCACATCTAACAAATGATTTCTGACATTGCTACTTGCCACTTATAAAAGAGTCTATATCAAACAGGGTGCACAGATTTGGGGAATTATGATTCCATTTTACCTGATGGATTCATTTCTTCCACATTTGGGAAGGAACAGAGTTCTGTTAGAAACTCACTAAGCTTCAAACTCCACTAACAAGTAACTGTTTTCATTTACTACTGAGAAATTGACACCTCAGTCCTAATCTTGCACAATAACTACTTCTTCAACCAAAATTTTGAAAGTCTAAGCAAACTGTATCCTTTGGGAAGAAGTCATTGAAAACCAGGATTAGCTTTCTGGGTTAAAATAAAATTGGTAGGAATTAACTATTTACATTATTAATTCTGTTCTATATTCTGATTTCCAGAACGGAGCAAAACCTAAGTCCCCTGGCCACTAAATGTCTAGAGCTGATCCCTGCAGCCCTACAGCCTACCTTCCTCTGCACCAAAAGTTAATTCCGACAGACAGAGCGGGAGATAAACCATTTTTCTCTGCAGGTAATTTGAACACTGGCTTCTCCACCTTACATGAATTTTCTGGCTAACTTCTGTTAAAAAAGAAAGTGGACTGGCTCAACCAATTTGCTATTCATAGTTTTAGGGTAACTGTTTCATGAACAAACATAAACATGTATGTATGCACACGCAGATACACATGCACACAGGTTAGATAGTTAAGGGGGGGAAATCACCTTTTAATATTCATTGGAGGGGAAAGAATTATAAGGTCATTCGCTGACTATTAGCTAAGTATCCCTCTTCATCAATTTTTACAACCCCCACCCCCCAACTTTATCTCTAAAGTCGAATTCTCTTTGAGGAGCTTCTCCTTGATGTTTGGTAAGCTCTAACAGCTTTGTCATAAATCCAAGTTTATTGATAATTCGCCTACTGACAGGTAATTCTCTTGAATGCTTATGTTAGAGAATTTCCTTTTGGTTCCTTCTACTTAATCACCACCACTTCAGCTACTCAGACAGATAACCACTTCCTTTTGCCTGCCTCTCTGTCACTGTCACACTATCTCAAATCAGACCTATATAGAGTCATTCCAACTTACAATAACAGATTCTCTCTCTCTCTCTCTCTCTCTCTCTCTCTCTCTCTCTCTCT